GCGCTGGCGCCTGCGGCGGCGGGCGGCGGTGGCGGGGAGCGTCGACGAGGACGACGGTGGTTTGTGGTGGTGGTGGTGGTGATGGTGGTGTGGTGGTTTGTGGTGGTGGTTGTGGGTTGTGCTGCTGGTAGTGGTGGTGGTTGTGGCTGTGGTGGTGGTGTGGTAGACTGTGGTGGTGGTGGTACTGGTGGTGGGTTTTTGTGGTAGTTGGTGGTGGTGATGGTGGGTTGTGGTGGTGGTGGTGGTTGTGGTGGTGGTGGTGGTGGTGGTGGTGGTGGTGGTAGTGGTGGTAAGTGTCGCTGCGTCCCCGCCGTCGCCGCCAGCGCCGGCGCTGCTGGCCGCCGCCAACGCCGGCGCCTGCGCGGGGGGGGGTTGAACCGCCCCCCCCCTTCCCCTGGGCTCTGGTCATCGTCGCTGCGTCCCAGCCATGGGCGCTGCTGGCGGCCGCCAGCGCAGGCGCCGGCGCCGAAGGGGGGGGGGGTGGAACGAATTACAACACTGGTCCCAATTCCAACCGTTCGGAGCGAATTGCAACCAGAAGCGAGACCAATTCCAACCACAAATGAGACCAATTCCAACCCAACCAAAAATGAGACCAATTGCAACCACGGATGGGATCTTCGGAATTCCTCCGGATCCCTTCGAATTCTTCGGAATTCCTCAGGATTCTTTAGGACTCCTTCGGAATTCCTTAGGATTCTCTTCGGAATTCCTCAGGATTCTTAGGACTCCTTCGGAATTCCTTGGGGTTCCTTCGGAATTCCTTCGGGATTCCTTCGGAATTCCTTTGGATTCCTTTGGAATTCCTTCAGGGATCCTTCGGAATTCTTCCGGATTTCTTCGGAACTCTTCGGAATTACTTTGGGTTCCTCCTTCGGAATTCCTTTGGATTCCTCCTTTGGAATTCCTTTTGGATTCCTCCTTCGGAATTCCTTTTGGATTCCTCCTTCGGAATTCCTTAGGATTCCTTCGGATTCTTCGGAATTCCTCAGCCATCCTTTTGATTCTTCTGAATTTCTTATGAATTTTCTTGCTACTATTACTACTACTACTACTACTACTACTACTACTACTACTACTACTACTACTACTACTACTTACTATTACGACGACGACGACGACTACGACACGACGACGACGACGACGACGAACGACGACGACGACGACTACCGACGACGACGACGACGACGACGACGACGACGACGACGACGACTACTACTTACTACTACTCCTAAAACTACTGGCTACCACGTAACTACTACACTCCTCCTCCTCCTACTACTACGCCACTACTACTACACTACTCTACTACTACTGTTACTACTACTACTACTACTACGACTACTGCTGCTACTGCTACTACTACTACTACTACTACTAAGACGACTAACTACTACTACTACTACTACTACTACTACTGTGGCTGTACTACTACTACTACTACTACTAACTTACTACGACTAACTACTACTATTATTACTACTACTACCACCACCACCACCTACTCCTACTACGACTACTACTATACTACTACTACTAACTACTAGTTACTAGTACGGCTACTACTACTACTACTACTACTACTACTACTACTACTACTACTACTACTACTACTACTACTACTACTACTACTACTACTACTACTACTACTACTACTACTACTACTACTACTACTACTACTACTACTACTACTACTACTACTACTACTACTACTACTACTACTACTACTACTACTACTACTACTACTACTACTACTACTACTACT